TCCCCCAGCAGCTCTCAGGCTCCCAGACCCAGGAGGGCCCACCCCATGCCCAACCTGGGCTGCTGACCCGCAGGGGCCCTGCCTATCTCCCTCCACTGGGGCCCCACCCAAAGCCGGGCTGTACTTGCCCTTAGGGGAACAGAGCTCACCACTTCAGCTCAGTTTTGTTTCCTCCCTTCCTCTTTCCCCACTCCTCTCTCTCCTCCCGCTCCTCTTCCCCTCCTCCCCACCCACGGCACAGTCCCTGCACCCCTAGTCTCCTCAAACTCATCTCCCAGGGGTCCCCAGGGAGTCCTCCAATCAGCTCCAGCCCCCAACCCTCTCCCACGGCTTTGGGTGACCCCCAGGTCCCCCTGAGTCCCCCTCCAGCCACAGAGTGTGCACCCAGCAGCTTCTTGGAGGCCGCCCCCATGGGCACCCACTGGCATCCGCTAACCAGCAGGCCCATCTTGGGCTGAACCCCCAACCTGCCCCTCCTCTGCCAATGCCCAGCCTGGAACATCCCCTGGCGCTCCCCACACCCCGCCCAGCACCCTCACACGCCGTGCTCTGAGGTGGTGCCCCCTGGTCCTTGGATGCAGGGTGCCAGAAGCATCCACCAGGCATGGGCACAGTGCCCCAGGCAATGACCTCTTGGGGCAGCCCCCCGTAGAGGCCCAGGTCCCCTTCCACAGGCGGCCTGCCCTCTCCTGCCTTCCCCTGTCAGCCCTGCCTGGCTCATCCCTGCCTCTCCTCCCCGCGCCCACACTCCTTCCACACTGTGCTCCCCTGGAGGCGCAGCGGGAGCCAGGCCTCTCACACCTCCCCAAGCTTCCTCCTGCCCTGAGATGCAATCTCAGCCCCCAGATGGTCAGCCCCGCAGAGCCAGGCCTGTCCTCACCGCTGAGAGCCCAGAGCCCAGCGTGGCGGAGAGAGAGGGTGTCCGGTGGCTCTCCCAAGCTGAACCTAGGTCAGCCTGCCATGCATCTCCCAGCTGGTGGCCTGCTCACCCCCGACCTTGACTGCATCTCCCACCCCACTGGCTTCTCCTCCCTCCCCTACAGCTCACTGGGAGTTGTGGGCAGAACAGAGATGTGGTCAAGACTGGGCCCGGTCCTCAGGAAGCATCGGGGACCCTGTCAAGGCTCTGAATCTGCAAGACGCCCTCAAGCAGCTCTGCCTGCAGGTGAGGAACCTGGGGCCTCCGTGACAAGATATTAGGCATCATCTCCTGACTTCCAGGCGCACCTCACGTGTCATAAGGATCACTGGGATGTGCAGGACATAAGGAGAGTGCAGAGGGGCCAGGGCTCCAGGGGCTCCTGGGAGGCAAAAGCGCCCAGCAGGAGGTGTTCAGTCATTGCCGACGGGCAATGAGTGGCCGTGAGGATGGACAGGAGGGCAGAAGGGCGGCACTGCAGCCTCCGCCGCCCACCCTGCCCTGGAGAAGTGGGTGCCCCTTCCTCCTGCTGACTTGGAGAGGTCAAGTCACCCCCACTGCAGATCCCCAGCCTGTCCCACCTTGCTCTCTGGAGCCAAGAAAAAAGCAGTGGAGGCTGGGCGCGGTGGTTAACGCCTGTAATGCCAGCATTTTGGCAGGCCAAGGCGGGAGGACAGCTTCAGTCCAGGAGTTCAAGACCAGCCTGAGCAACACGGTGAAATGTCTCTACAAAAATCAGCCGGGTGTGGTGGTAGGCACCTGTAGTTCCAGCGACTTGGGAGGCTGAGGTGGGAGGACTGCTTGAGCCCAGGAAGCAGAGGGTGCAGTGAGCCAAGATGGCGCCACTACACTCCGGTCTGGGTGACAGAGCGAGACTCCATCTAAACAAAACAAAACAAAACAAATCAAAAACAGTGGGGACCAGGCAGAGAAGCTAATGCACTAAAGGCCATGGTGGGGGTGAGGGGAACATGGCCACGGGGCGGCTGCCGAGAGGAGTGAGCTGGAGGTGAGGATGGCAGTGACAGGGGAACTGCTATCACCGGTGATGGCCTCATGGGGACTAGAGATTGGTGTGGGGAGGGTGGGGTATGTGCTGTCCACACGATGACAGCGGCAGGCGACATGATGTCAGCAGTGGGGGGGACAGTGACATGCCATGTGACCTTGGGTTGGGGAGAGTGGTGGGGGGTGTGGCCTCAGGAGTTGGGGAGGGAATGGTGGTATGTGTGTGACCTCAGGGGTGGTGGAAGGGGAGAGGGGTTGGGCAGTGACCCCAGTGATGGTGGGGAGGGTGGTGGGGTTGTGTCTTTGGAGTCCCATCTCTTCCTCTCACACTGGGAGGGTTAGAGTGGCCACAGGCAGGCGTGAGTGCCCTGGAGGTGACTAAGGATGCGGCCACAGGCTGTCAGCCTCTCTCCTTGTGCTGAGAAGCTGAGGCTAAACTCAGCCCTCTAAGCTTGTCTGCTACCCGTGGCCTGATCTGGCCCGTCACCTCTCCCATGCACAGCAGCACCACCTAGGTGACCCAGAGCCCCCACTGCCACCTCCGCCACCCTGGCTTGAGGCCTCACTGGGTCTGGGCCCCATGCCCTCTTCTCCTCAGGGCCCCTCCCGGCTGCCCAGCACCCCTGTCCTGGGGGTCTGAAGCCCAAGGAGCCGGTTTCTCTCTGGAGCTTCGTGGAGCGCCCCCAGTCCCCGCCTTCCGCGGCTCCCCTCCAGGATCAACCCCCGGGCTCTCTGGACTTCCACGCCACGTCTGCAGATGATCCGCGGGTGCTGTCCGCGCTTGAGGACAGCTGTAGCCTCGCCAGCCCACTGGCCATCGTGGCCCACCTCGTACAGGCACAGATCCTGACCATGGCCGTGGGGAACAGGGAAAACACTGCTCCGGGGACTGTGGGAGGGTGCGGGGGGACGAGGGTGTTGGACAGGGCCTGACCCCAACACCTGCAGGCGGCGTGCGTTCACTCATCTTCCGGAACTGCTGGCTTGAGGTGGCAGGAGGGGCTGGGAAGGGGTGAGGAGGAGAGTGAAGTAGGGGACCCTGCCCTTGGCTCACCTCGGTCTGTCCCCAGCCCCCACAACCCATCCATTCTCGTGCCCCCCAATCCATCTCCAATCCCACTCCCAGCCCTGTCCATCCCCAGGCCCCTGCTCCCACCCCTCCCTGCTCCCTCTTCCTGCGTTAATCCTGCTCACTGCTGACCCAAGCAAAACGGAGTCCGCCTTCTCCCTTCTCGGCAGTTTTCTGTTGGCAAAGCAGAAAGGAAGGCAACTCAGGCTCAGCCCAGCCTCCTGCCTGGGGAGCACTCTGAAAATGGAGCATCACCCCGTGGGCCCGGCGCCTGGGCAGGGTGCACACACGGTCCCGGTGCGCCCTCGGCCCCTGCGCTGCTCAACATCCATCGTCGGCCCTGGCTCTGCGTGGGCATGGGGAGTGGGGTCTGGACCATACCGTGGCCTCAGCAGCTCCTGGGCTCCGGCCCCTCCCTCCCAGGCAACATATGCCCGACACACTCAGGCACTCATGGACATGCTGGTGCCGTCCCTGCCCTCGGCCCGTCTGTGACACCGTGACCAAAGTGGTAAGGCTGGGCCAGAAAGTGGGGCCTAAGGCCCATCCATGGGGTGTGGCCAGGCTAGGCCATCTGAGGAAGGGACACTAACCCGTCCCTAAAAGCCAAAAAGGTGCTAGCCAGAAACGCCCAGGAGTGTGCAAGCAGAACTTCAAGGGAAGAGAATGGGCTCTGCAGATGGCAAGGTGTGGCGCTTTGGGGGCTGAGGCAAGCACCAACACATGCTGCTGCAGGGACAGCCTCGAGCTGGCCCCTCGGGGCAGCTGTGCCCCCTGGGAAGCCTCAGCCAGTGGCTCTCACCGCACAGCCTGCAGACTGAGCGCTCCCCAGCGGCCAGCCCTGCCTTCCCCCAGCCTCGCCCTGATCCTGCTTTGCTCCCCAGCCTGGGCAGGTGGGACAGGACCCTGACCTGCCGCCTCCTGCTAGGGCAGGCTCAGCACAGGTGCCGCCCTGTGTGCTGGCCCCAGGGGCTGCACTGCTCTCTGGCAGGGCACAGGCCACAACTGGCCCCGGGGGTGAAGCTGCAGGTCCTGCCAGGCCTGGCATCACACCCTTGACTAGTCCCCAAGGCCTCCTAGAGCCTCCTGGAGCCATGGTGATGCCTCCCCAAATCCGCCCACCACTGCCGACTCAGCTGCCTGTGTGGACGTGCAGTCCCTGGGGGGGCTGGACAGGGTAGTCCCCTGTACAGCAGGCCCCTGTGCCCAGCAGGCAGCCACCAGCTGCTGCAGGGGTGAGGATGGGATGGGGCGCGGTCCCTTCCCGCAGCCCAGGGGCTATCTGGCAGGACTCCCACAGAGGCCGGAGGGCGTGGTCCAAGCCTGAGGGGCTGGGCTGGTAGGCATCCGCTTTCTGTTCTGGAGTGGGGCTCACTGCTGCCCCGGGAGTAGCCCCAAGTGGCAGGTGGGGAGGGGGACCCTCCTCCTGCCCAGCCCTGCCTTGATTAGAACTCAGGACTCCAGATCCCGGGACCTCCGCCCCCCTCCCCGTGGCCGGCAGTAGGACCTCAGGGCCTCCCACATCGCCACAGCACCCCTGTGCACCAGGCTTCCTCCACTTCACAGGATGGAGGCGGTGACAGGAGCCGGGTCCCAGCCACGTGTGACTCCAGCTGCGAGGCCCCCACTCTGTGGCAGAGGGACCGGATGGCGGGGAGGCAGCCCCAAGGGAGACCCCTGAGGGGGCAGCAGGGGACAAGATGGCCTGGGGCAGAGAGCAGGGCCAGGATCACAGGCCCAGGCTTGGTGGCAGCCAGGGGAGGGGTGTGTGTGGGCAGGGGTGGGATGGGTTGGGCGTACCCCAGGGGTCTGTGGTGGGGAGGGGCATGCTCTCCGGGCAAAAGCCCCCTCCCCCAGCCTATGGTGGCCTGGCGCCCACCGTGCAGGAGGCAGGTGGCAGCTCTGTCCCCACCTTGGGTCTGGACAGGCCACAGGAGGTGGGGAGTCCCTGCACTTCCCAGACAGGGCCGCCATCCTGTCATCCCCAATTAGCGCCTAATGGCCTCCTTGATGCACAGTTTTATTAACCAAATTAATATGTGCTGGGGAGACCTGCATGACCTTGGCCCATTCTGCTGAGACAGGGATTTTCCCAGGAGGGCAAATGGGGGACCTGGACCCCCACCCCGGCTCAGGAAGGCTGGGGAGCCCCACCCTCCCGCCCAGGAAGATGGCACCACGGCGCCTGCATCTCTGGGACCCCAAACACCCCACTCGCACCCCCATTTTCCCGGCTGAAGCACGAGGGAGGTGGCAGCACAGGGTCCTGGACCCTGGAACTGGAGCTTGGGATGCAGGGCGGGTTGCTCGCACCTGGGGACCCTCGGAAGGGACTGGACGAGAGGGCAGGGGTCTTGCAGAGCTGGGGGCTGCCTTGCTACCCGGGGTCTCTGCCTCAGCCCTCCCAAGGTGCATCTGCCTGTGCCGCCTCCCAGGGCTGCTAAGCAGGTGGCGGCTGCCCCCTGGTGGCTGCAGGGAATGACTCCCACCAGCCCTGCCCCTTTCAGAACCTGCTGGGCCCTGGGGCCCTTGGTGAGGACCCCCACTCTGGCTCCGTGGCTCCTCTCGGGTGCAGCTCGGGCCTGCCCTGCTCTGCAGCCCTTCCCACCCCCTCCCCTTGGTGCCCAGGTCCTGAGCCCACTGCTGTGGGGGTCCTGGGGGCGGTGCTCCTACTGACTGCCTTTGGGGGCCATTGTCCACCCAGTCTATGGAGGCCTGGAGGCAGCCCCCACTTCCCCTGCTTGAAACACTGAGAGCTCACGGCCTGTGGAGGCCAGCAGGAGCGGCGCAAGCAGGCTGGGGAGGGCTGGGGGCCTGTGCAGGCCCCAGGCTCAGGGAGAGGTGACATGCTCAGGAGCTGGAGGGTGGCACCTATGGTCGGAGCAGGACAGCAAAGTGGGCAGCAGGGCTGGCAGGCTTAGGGCCACCATTAGACCTGGGCTACGACACTGGGGACTCCTGGGCAAAGGGGACACTTGCTGGGATGACCAGCACAGGGCCCGGGGTGACCAGCACAGGGTGCAGAGGTGGGGAGTCCCTTGCTCTATGCACAGACAGGACAACAGGAGGTATTTTCGGGGAAGGCCGTGTCTGGGACCCGGCCTAGGGGTCTGTGGATGCTGTGGGTGTGCCTGGCTGCTGCATGGTGGCATGGTGGAGGGGCAGCGAGCAAAGGGGTGCCCAGCAGGAGTCACTGGGCACCAGGCAGAAACTTGGCCGGAGGCAGGACTGAGACCTCAGGGTCTGTGCCCAGGGCAGCAGCAGGGTGGACAGAGCCCGGGGGCACAGACGTGATGGCTGTGAGGAGCCCTCAGGGTGGGGCAGCCCCAGGAAGCTGACCTCAGACCGGCAGAGGGACTGGCACCCTTCCTGTGTGTGGGTGAAGAGGCCACAGCTCCCATCACTGGGCTCAGACAGCTCTGACCATAGTCTTTAATGGGCAGGCAGGTGCCCGAGGCAGCCTTCGGCATGAGGCGGGGCAGGCATTGCCCAGAGGTCCTCTGGGTGGGGAGGGCATGCTTGGTGCTTCCCACCAGCTGGAGCCAGGGCTGAGGTGTGCAGGGAGCCTGGCCCTCACAGCCACCCTGGGCACTTCGAGGATGAGGGCAGAGCTGGCTTCACTGGGGCACGGGGCTGGGAGCAGCCTCCAGGCTTGCCCTGCTGGGCTTTTCGGCTCCAGCTGAGGAGGGGCCGGGGGCTGGCCCACGTGGATGCCGGGGTCTTGCAGCCGTGCTCCCTCTGGCTGCTTAGAAGCCCCCTGGGGCCCAGCAGGGCGGGTCGGCGGTCCCCCTGTAGCAGGGACAGAGATAGACTGTGGTCAGCCACTGCTGGCCTGTCCCCACCTGCAGCCAGTCTGGGAGGGGTGAGAACCACCTGGGAGGGGCTGGCACACGGGGGCTTGTTTGGGGGCTCCCATCAGGGTGACCACATAGTAGGGGCCCCATGGGTTTCACCCAACCCTGGGTCAACCATGCTGGGTAGATGAAACTTCTGGGATGGAGCACCTGGCCCAGAAGCCTCCAGTCTGAGGATACAGAGGCCCAGTGAGGGGTGGGCTCAGCATCCTCGGGGTCAGGGCAGGAGCCCTCAGATGGAGGCCACAGCACAGGTGGCCCCTGCCCAGGAGGTGGCCCGGGGAGGGTTACCCGCAGCCCCACCTCCCCTTCCCAATGCTGCTCAAGCATCCAGGGCACGCCCAGGGCCAGGGTGGGGACAGCAGGCTGGGGACCACCCCTCCGGGGCCCCCAGGGCTCACCAAGGTGGGCAGCCTAGAGCTGGGCAGCACTGACACCACCTGCAGGCTGGCACCCGCCTCTCCCGCAGCCTTCAGCTCCGCCACCACCTCTGCGTGTCTCCACCACCTGCACGGCTGCCCGTTCACTGACACAATGTAGTCACCCTCCTTCAGGCCGGCCGCCTGTGGGGAGACTTGGATGGTAAGGCGGGGACAGGACACCCTGGCTGGCACTGGGGACTCAGCCTCAGGGGGCCGGTGGGGCCCTTACCGCGGCCTGGCTCCCTGGAATGACAGCAGCGATGAGGACAGGCGAGTCTCCCCGAAGCGTGAGGCCGAAGCCACCCTCTCCTCGGGTCAGGTGGATGGGCCCCACCAGCCGCCACCGGTTCTTGGCTGAGAACACAGACAGGGGCCCCTGGCGGGGGCTCAGAGGTCAGAGGCCCAGCTGGGTCACACACTGAGGAGACCCCGCCTAACCAGCACGTCCATCCAACCTGTGCACCGAGGGACGCCGTGGGGTTCCACAAGGCGGGTGGGCAGGGCTGGACCGCCATCAACGGCCTGAGGCCATGTGCTGCTCAGAGCCACGAAGCTCAAGCTGCCTGTGCCTGGGGACAGGTGTGCTCACCAGCCGATGGAAGATGTCAGGCCCCTTCCCCTGGGACAGGCGTGGCGTCCTGGCCTCTGGCTTCTGGTGGGTCTTAGCTGAGAGGGTGGAAGGGCAGAGCTAAGCTGGGAGCCTGTGGAGACCTGCCCCGGGGATTTTCCAGGGCGCAGGGCATGACCCCGAGCGCACACAGGCCCTGCCTCTGACCTCCTGGCCTGGCCGCACTGCAATGGCGGGGGGGAGCTGCCCCAGGTGCCCTGAAGGCATAGCCTCCTCTGCGCAAGTGGCTCCCAGAATCCCTCCCTGAAGTCCCAGGCGTGCCTGTCCCGGGTCTGTGGGCTTCCCCTCAGGGTAGGCCAGTGCAGGGAGGGAGGGGCTGAGGGGCGTGGCCATCCCCCAGGCCCCTGAAGGGCCCCGCAGCTCTGTGGGCCTGAGATTGCGGCCTGGAAAGTGCTACTGCTGTTGAATTCATCGTGGCGATTGCATCTTTAATGCAATCAGCCTCCCTTTCTCCAGGACGAAGGCCCCCACCCTGGCCGGGGATACAGCCACCCACACAGGCCCTGGCTGCTCACGCTGGATGTCTGGGGCCTCGGCAGTCTCACAGAAGTCATCCTCACGGTCAAGCTCCGCATACTTGGCCAGTGAGCGCTGCAGCGTCTGGGCGACCACAGCCCGCAGCAGGTCCACCTCTCGCAGGACGCGGCACAGGGCGTGCAGCCGCAGCGCCTCCTCCTGCCCCAGGATGGCGCGCTTCAGGTGTGCCTTGCCTGTACGAGGGGCACTGGGACGTCACATACCATGTGGGCCTGTGGGCCCTGGGACGTGGCAGAAGGAGTGGGCAAAGCCAGGGCTGTGGGGCTCATCACAGCCACTTTTGCTGTAGGCGTATGCCACAGGGGTGAGGAGCTGGCTGTGCAGGAGGGCTCTGCCTCATACAGAGCAGGGGCCAGGGACAAGCTGCTCCCAGGGGTCTCCCACCTGCTCAGAGGCTGCCAGCACTCCTGGGGCCCCTGTGCTGGACCGTCACCCATCAGGCACAGGGCATCCAGGGATAGGTAGGTGGCCCAACTCGTTAGCATGGGGACACCAGGTGGCAAACAGTGTGAGGGTGGTGGGGGACACCCTGCCACTGTTGGTGACCACCTGAGCCCCCAGGGCCCTCCATCCATGGGCGCCTTACCAAGCTGCCTGCGCTCCTCCCGCTCCTGCGGCAGCACAGGGCCTTGGGGCTTGCAGGAGGTGGGGGGCTGGAGGAAGACCTGCTCGTGTGTGGGGAGCTCTCCCTCGGTCGCTGCTGGGGGACAGAGAGGCCATGAGCCCTGAGCGGGGGGCCTTTGCAGCATCATGGGCAAGTGCGGTGGGCACTCACGGGAGCCGTCGCAGAGGGCCATGGCTACGTGGTAGTGGGCCAGGGAGCGGAAGTACTCGGCCTTGACATGCACCAGGGCAGTCCAGGAGACGGGCATGTAGTCGTGGACGGGTGGCTGGGCCATGGTCTGGTGCACTAGTCTGTACTCGGCTGCCACCTGCCGGTGGACATGGCAGGCACGCGAGGGCCTCCCGCTCTCCGGTGGTGACTGCCTCTCCCTACCCAGCCTCCACCCGCTCCGACCACCATCCCAGCAGCCTCCCTGGCACCCCAGTTCCTGCCGCTTCATGCCATTCCCTGGAGGCAGAGGCTTGGGCGCCCAGGTTCCTGACCAGCCCCCCAGGGAGCAGGACAACAGCCGGCTTGGGGCTGACACACAAGGAAGGAGGCGGGAGAGCTCACGCTTGCCTGGACCTGGGCTCTGGCCCCAGCTCGGCCCCACCCCCTGCACCCTGACACGGGTGCCCGAGCTCACCTGGGCAGCCTCCTGCGCCAGGCGCAGCTGGGCCAGGCAGTCTTGGGGGGCCATGGAGGCAGGGGGTGAGAGACCCTCAAACACACATTCCTGGGCCTGGGCCATCATGAGCTGCTCCAGCGCGCAGAGGGACGCAGGGCTCATGTCTGGGCTCGGCGCATGGGAGAAGTTCTCCCTCAGGAGGCTGAAGGTCCCTGCGGAGGGAGGGGTGCTCACACAGGCAGGGCCCTGACCTGCCCATCTCTGCCCCATGCAGCACTCAGGGAGGCCAGCTAGGGCCGCTCCTGGGACACGCATGGGCCCGACGTGCTCAGACCCCCTACCTGAGGGACTGACGTCCTAACCACCCCCCAGCTCCTGCCCTGCAGAAGGGGCTCTGCAACACCCTGGCACCACACCCTGCCCCCCCGCGGCCCGGGCCGCCCTCACCAGCGGCCCTCTGGAAGGCCTCCACAGCACGGTGGGCACCCTCGGCGCAGGAGCGGTTCTGGCGCGCCCCAATCTGCGTGTGGAGGGCGCCGATGTTGAAGAGAACGCTGCCCTTCTCGAAGGCCAGGGCGCGCTGCTGGGCCGGGACCCCAGTAAGCGAGTCGTACCTGCAGTGTCGGGTCAGGCTGGGCGGAGTTCCCACAGTTCCCGCGGCCAGGCCTCCCCTCCCCAGGGTGCCCCCGCCCGCAGAGCCCCTACCAGTGGAAGAAGAGCCCGAGGCTCCTGGCAGGGGTGAGGAAGCGCGCGTCCAGGAAGCACAGCTGGTTATAGTAGGCTGTGAGCAGCTCCAGGCCCGCCTCATTCCGGCTGGGGGTCCGCATGGCCTGCAGGGCAGGAGCCGCTGGGCCCCACCACCCTGGCCCATCCCACTCACACACACTGCCCTGGGAAGTCCCGTGGGCATCAGCACCATGGGGGGCGGGGAGGCAAAGCCAGCAGGGCCCTGGGCAGCCGAAACTCCCAAAGGCCAGCAGTGTGCGGCACCGGGGCCACCTGCCAGCCCCTCGACACGCCCCGGCTGAGTCTGCACACACAGGGTCCTTGGTGCGCCCGTCTCCCCACATCCTCCAGACGTCCACACTGAGCTCCGCCGTCTGTTCCTGACTTAAGCCTCAGCCTCTGCATGTGTCTCCCAAGACTGCAGGAGGGTGGGCGGGCGGGGGAACCACACACCTGCCGCAGGGCCTCCAGCTCTCTGATTTCTGCCTCGTAGGAAGCGCCGTCCTCTCCAAAGTGCACCGAGATCAGCTCCTGATGGGGGGCAGGTGTTGGCATCCACAGTACCCCTGTGCCTGGCCTCCTTCCCTGAGGTCTCCCAACCCACCGTGGGGAAAGACTCATGGTGGAGGAGGGCTGTGTCGCACAGCAGGCTGGCTGCCATGCAGGGTGGGGGCCCTGGGCCCCTCAGGAGAAGCCCCAGAGAAGGGCTGGGGCCAACTGTACGGAGGGACCTGGTGGGTTGATGCAGCTTGGAGCCCCTCTGGCCCTGGGGTTTCCCATCACAGAGGTGGCGCCTGGAGACTCAGCGCTACTTTTATGTGCGTTTCCTTATTCATCCCCATGGCCGGGAGGCAGGTGCCATCTGCCACTCAGTGACTCCAACACTGAACACAGTCAGTGGCTCCTGCAGGGCCCTGCCGGGCAGTGCCAGTCTGTTCTGGGGTCTGAGCCCTCTCCAGGACCCTCATGAGTCAGTGCTGGGTGTGTGGTCCCAAGCCGGTGGTGCCCTCTGTGGGCGAATCTGGACCCTGTGCCCCGGCTGGGGCTTCCAGGCCCCATCCTCTTAGGGCATTGCCTGCCCGAGGGTGGGCCATGTGTTCATACCCACTCTATGGGATCAGCCCCAGCCTGCGGTGCAGGCACCAGTGCGGGCCCTGAACGCAGCAGAGGCTGGGTCTCTGTGGCCACTTCTGCCAGGTCCCTGGTGTCCCTTTCAGCCCTCCCTCCCTCTGGGCCTCAGTTTCCCTATCTGTTCAATGAGACAGCTGGACCAGGAAGCCTCCAAGACCCCTTGGTCCCAGGGCAGGGCCGTGTCCCTCAGAGCTCGTAGGCCAGTGCCTACCTTCAGTGGTGTAGACCAGTCCAGCTCCTTGGTCTCCTTCAGGCCCAGGGGGATCATGGGGACAGTAACAGCTTCACTACAACCAGAAGCATCGACTTCAGACTGTAAGGCCAAACCCTGCTGCACACGGCAGCCGGGGGTCCACTCCTAGGGCTCTGTGGCACAGGGTGCCTCCCTCCCTCATGGGTGCACACGTGCGCCTGTGTCCTGGGGGGTGTCCTTGCACCTGCGCACCCCCCCACCATCCTAAACCGCTCCAGAAGCACGTGCACACACACGCACGCGTGCGCGCTGTCCCGGCCCCCATCCGCACCTCCCATGCTGGCCAGGGTCCACGCCACCGCTGAGCTCCTCCAGCTCCTCCTTCAGCAGCTGCAGGTTGGAGTTGACGTAGCTCAGCTCCAGGGCGACCGTCTCTCTCACCCGGTTGTTGCTGGTGGCTCTGAGGGAGGCCGTGGCAGTTGAAAGCCCAGCCCCAAGGTAGAGGCAAAGGCCCCATGCCCACTGCCGCCCTCCTGCCAGCTGATCTGTCGGAGCTCCGAGCCCACCCTGCAGAGGATGTCGCTGACGGGGTCTGTCCCCCATGGGTGGGGCAGGTGCAGCAGTGGCATCCGGGGGCTCACAGGTGATACCCACTACAGTTCATCACCCCTGACCCCAGCACCTGCATGTTCTGACTCTGGCCTGCGGGCACCTCCCTCAGCGCCATGGCTTTCTTTGGGGCTCATACAGCCCTCGACAGCATTCAAACACCACTTCCTCGGATGGTGGGTGAGAGCCACACCCCTCTCTGTGCCTGCATCAGGGCCCGGCAAAGGGACCAGGGGTCCCCAAGGAAGGCCAGGATGAGGGCAGGGGGGCAGCAGGTGCTAAGGATACTGAAGGGCACTCACACACACACGTGCGGCTCACACGCGGCGTGCTCTGAGGAACAGGCAGCTCGGGTCTTCCACCCCTCTCCCAGGTCCCCAACCTTGGGATGCGCCGTCACCTGCCACAGCTCAGCCTCAACCATGGCTCTTCTGAGAAGCCCCCATGTGCACTGTTGGGGCTTCCCAAGCTGCACACCCGGCAGGGACACTGGTTTCCTGGCACCTCCGGCCCAGCACAGAGTCCGTGAAGGCAGGTCTGTGAGGGTCATGGCTGGGCATCACGTGTACTGTGTGCCCCCCAGGACCCATCTGCTCATGCACCTGTCTCCCTGACCCGGCCATGGGGCAGACACCTGCCTGGGTGGCTGTTCTGCCCCCCTCACCCAGGTCAGCCCTGCTCCTGGGGCCGGGTGGCCTCAGGCACTCACCTGTAGAGGTTCTCAGCGCCCGTACGCATCTGCAGCTCCTTGTCAATCTGCTGGTGAATCCGGGCCCTGCGGCTCTGCAGCTGGCCGCACTGCATCTGCATCAGGGAGTCACAGCCCTGCAGGGAGGCCACAGGTGATCACGGCCTGACCCTGTGGAGCCCGCACCAGGCTGTGCCTCGCCAGCCACTGAGAGGAGTGCAGCCTGCCCAAGGGTAATGGGGTGGCCACCATGGGCTGGGGCTGGAGCTGACCTCACAGGGAGGGGCTGGACAGAGCCAGTGTGAATATGGGCCCAGCCAGAGCAGGACCAGGAGGCAGTCAGTGCAGAAGGACGTGGTGGGGGGGATGCTGCTGACTTGTGATGGGGGTCGGGAGGGGAGGCTGGCACCTGCCAAGGACACCAGGAGCCAGGGCCTCACCAGGCAGCCTGGACAAGTAGGGCTCCAGGAGCCCTGCAGGGGGCAGCCTGCTGCCCCTCACAGTAGGATTCTTCTGGGTCTCCTTCTGCACTTCCCGATTTCATTCTGGATTCCCCCCTTGCCCCTCCCAATTTTTTTCCATCCAATTCACCCACGCCTCCCAACCATTCCCGTGTGGGTTTAGGTGTGGGCTCAAAGGACAGCGTCCCTGAGGCTCTGGGGGCAGCCACTGGCCCCCGATGGTGGGTGCAGAGGCTGCAGTCTGACTTTGGGAATGGTTCTCGAAGTGAACGCACACCTGTGCACTCCCCATCCACAGAGAAGAGACTCTGAGCCTTGTACCCACAGATTGCACCCCCCGGGCCCTGCCCAGCACCAGCCATGGCGAAAGAGCAGGGCATGCCCGGCAGGGCCCCTTCTGGACTCTCATGGCTCCTGTGTCTTCTTAAGTGGCGCGAATCTGCTGGGGCTTAAATTTCACTCCAGGGTGATCCAGTTTCATGCCTCAGCCCACCCCATCCTTGTGGTGTTGGGGTCCTGCCCGTGCGATCCTCATGTGTCCCTCCCTCTCACCACGCCCCTCCCCCCAGCTCTTCCCCATGGCTGCGTGGGAATGCCTGGGTCTCCACCCCGACAAGATTCTTTGCAGCTACCTGTGGCTGTCCTCTGGGTGGGCTCCCAGGCGTGGGCCGGCTGGCTTGCCTCTCCAGCACCCACTCCTTCCATGCTTTGAGACCCACAGTGCTGCTCAGGGCTCACTGCTCAGGGACACTGACTCCCACCCAGCCCTTGGGTGAGCCTGGTCTGTGTCAGGTGCGGCCATCTGGCCATTTCTGCCAGTCAGCAGCAAGACAAGGCCTCTGGTGGCTCCCGGGACTGCTTCCCGCCCTTGTCGGGAGACAGGACCTCTTCTGTCCCAGGACCTTGTCGTGTCTGAAGATGAATCCTGCCACCATGAAACTGACCCGACACTGCATGAAGCTGCGGATTCATGGGGCCAACGTGCACATGGCACTGGGTCTTCCCCTCTGTGGACCTGGCACCCTCTCCACGCACACACGTCTCTCAGGCCTTTCCGTCTTCCCCGTAAAGAGCTCACATGTGTTTTCCTGGGTTTCCCCTAGATATCTACAGAGAGTTATTTTTGCTAATGTGAATAAGACCTTTGTCTGCATTGTAATTAGTTTACTCCCATTATACAGGAATGATTTGATTTCCTAGACAGAGGGCCTGCTCGTCCTGCCCCCCAAGCTCACAGCAGCCAGCTGAGCGGGTGACCATCTATTATGGGTGAATTGTGTCCCCACAAAAGACAGGTTCAAGTCCTAACTCCCAGTACATGTGAGTGCAATTTGTCTAGAAATAGGGTCTTTGCAGATATAATGAGTTAAGATGAGGCCACCTTGGAGTGGGGGGGGTCCTTAATTGCAGTGACAAGGGTCCTTATAAGAGATGGGAAATGTGAACACAGCCACATGGAAGTGGCCATAGGAAGGCAGAGACAGAGACTGGAGGATAAGGCACCGTCCCCTGGAACCCACCCCATCCCCCAAACCCCTGCACTGTCCCCCGGAACCCATACCATCCCCCAAAACCCCTGCGCCATCCCCTGGAACCCACACCATCCCCCAAACATCCGCGCCATCCCCTGGAACCCACACCATCCCCAAACCCCTGTGCCATCCCCTGGAACCCACACCATCCCCCAAACTCCCATGCCGTCCCCTGGAACCCACACCATCCCCCAAACTCCCACGCCGTCCCCTGGACACCCGTGCCGTCCACCAGACACCTGTGCCATCCCCCAAACCCCTGCACCGTCTGCTGGACACCTGTGCCGTCCCCTGGACACCCACACCAGCAGCCTCCTGCTGAGTGCTGGGGGTGAGGGAGCCTGATGGAGCTCCCTGAACTGAAGATGAGCCGGTGCTTAGGGGCTGGCGGGAGGGACACAGGCGCTAAAGGGCCAAAGCAGAGAGGCCATGGTGGCTGGGAGGAGGGTGTGCTGGCCCAGGACGCTGGCCTCCCCCCAGCTCAGCTCTGTCCCCGTGGACACCACCCAGCAGGGGATGGGCCAATGGGCACTTGGGAACCCTCATCCTGCTCCCGTTTCCCACTCCCGCCTCCTCCAGAAAAGAAATTCCCTCCAGAGCTGCTTCAGGGGCTCAGGCTGGAGTGGCCCACAGGTGGGAGAGGCACGGGCGCCTCAGATCTGAGCAGCTCCCTGAACTTGAGGCCTGCCCACCCCCGCCTCCCATCCCTATCTTTCCCACCCGCACTACCACCTTGAGGGCCTCTGCCCAGTACCTAGGACCCCCGTGCCATCCACTGCACTACACCCCCTCCCTGCAAAGGCCCCACTGCAAGGCTCCAGTGGCTTTAAGGGCTCTGGCTGTGCAACGGGCATCAGACACCCAGCCAGGTCCCTGCTCCCCTCCTGGCCCCGGGAGAGCTGTGGGGAACCTGGCCCCTCAGAGCCCCACAGGCACCTGCCGTGGCCCTGGGCCATTCCTCGGCCTCCCCACCTGCAGTGCTCCCTGCTGGTCAAGTGACTTCCTGGCCTACATGGGGATGAGCAGACCTGAGCTGGACCTTTGAGGCTGGGTAGACCTTGGAGGGGGAGGCCCATGCCCCACTTTCCACACTGGGCTGAAGGTTGTGCCCAGCAGAAGGGGCGTGGACACAGGTGTTCAGCCCCTGCTCCTGCTACAACCTCCCCATCCTCTGGAGACAAAGGTGACCTGGAGCCCCCCCCCACCACTCCCACGGTGCCCTGACACCCTACTGTGACCATTTCCACCTTGCATTAGGAAAGAACAGAGAGGCTATGGTCTGCGGGGGTCCCGAGAGGCAGCCACACATGAAGGGCCTGGCCGTGCCTCGATGGAGAGGGACGGAGAACAGAGAAACAGCCCCCAAACCCTGACAGTGGGGCTCCTCTACCAGTGAGGAAACAGTGTGGCCGTGGCCAGAATGGGGCTGACCTGGGGACTGGCATAATGTGGAGACAGTTATCCCAGCCCAGATCTGGGAACAGCAAAACATCAGAGCAGGGCCAGACCTCCACCCTCCCCCAGGATCCCCTGGCCCTGGGCCAGGCAGTCCCCAGGCAGAGGCCACCCACCTGGAGCAAACCAGCTTCTTCCCCTCAGAGCCCTGGCCCTGGGCACCCTGTCTGCTGACACCCACCCATCTCAGGGATCCCTCTCCTCTGCCCCCACTGAAGTCTCACCTGAATGCAAGAACTGGAAGCCCCAGGAGGGCGGACACATTAGCACCTACCCGACCCACCATCTCTGCCCCCCACTGATGAGGGAGCAGAATTCAATGGGCATTGGCGCACAGGGGTCTCCTGGGACGCGGGGCTACAAGCAGCACGCACGCCAGAGGGATCACAGACTGGCCACTCACGCCAGGGACCCCCACTCTCTCTGATGCTCCCTGGGGCACCCAGGCACTGGTGGTTCCTGAGCACCCCTCTTCCTGGAGCCCAATCTACCTGGGCAGGGGCCTAGGAATCCGTTTGTAACCAGCACCCAGAGGGTGCTCCTGTCCAGCCAGGCCAGGGAACCTCAGGCTGACCTACTCGGCATGCTGGAGACCAGGCGAGGGGGGCACAGTCACTCTGCCCACCTGCTGCTCCAACGCTCTTCCTCCTCAGCCCGCTCCCCCTTCTCTCACTGGCCTCCCTTGACCTCCCGAGGAAACCACAGGACCTGCATACAGCCAGGCTGTATTGTCTGTGGTCCTCCCCTGGGAGCCCCTGCAGCCCCTGTGGAAGGGACGGCAGCTGGGTTGGCCGCCCTGGGCCGTGCCAGGCTTCTCCCCTTACCAGCTTGGCAGCCTTGGCCACTTACTCACCCTGTTCCTCAGACGGGCTGAGGCCCAGGGCTTGGGAGGCACCAATGGCAGGACTCCAGCTGCGGCTCTGGCCCCGGCACCAGGTAAGCGCTCGCAGAAGGCACACGCTCATCATACCCGGGGCAAATACCAGTCACCCAGACCCGTCCTCAGGGCCTCAGGCCCAGGCCTGGTCTCTAAGCGGAGGAATGACCGACCCCTGACCCACTGAACTCTGAGCGTTAGGGCCAGTTTGGGGGCCAGCCTGATGGGGGTGGAACAGGCCTCACTCCAGCCTGGCCGCAGGCATCAGGGAAGACCTTCCAGATGGCAGGACGGCCTGAGTGGTGTGTGTGTGACACAGGGCCTGCCTCCGCTCCCCGGCCACCTCCCACAGACCCCTCCCCAGTACCCTGACTGCGGGGTCATTTCTGGACACTGCGAGAGACGTGGCAGCCTGGAAACAGCTTCTCTCCGACTTTCCAAGGTGACAGCCCAGGGAAGGCCAGGACAGACAGCCCGGGCACAGCCCCCAGCCTGAAAAGCGTCACCTCCAGAGCCCTCTGGGACATCTTGTTTGTACAGCCTCCAAACATTCCACCCAAAACAACTTTGCTGTCCCAGGCCACCTGCAGGCATGGCCGCCCTGCCAGAGCGAGTTCACAGGGGTCGGGCAAAGGCTGCCTCTCCCTCCAGTGCCCAGGAGGTGCTGCAGCCTCTTGCACGCCTAGGGGTGGGCAGGAAGGGAGTCCTTGAGGGCTATGGTCAGCATCGGCAGCCCAGTGACCTGAAGCCAAGCCTTGGCTGATAGCACCGCCTCCTCCTCTAAGAGACCTGAGTCCAGACACAGAAGCTGAGTAGAACCAGGGACAACGCAGTCCGATGTCCCAGAGGGGAGGAGGGCCAGGCGCTATCAAAGGCTCACCTGGGGTGAGGCGCAGGAGCAGCCCCCCGCTGAAAGCCCGCGACGGGCATGGGCACCCAGGGTCTGGCAGGAGCACTGGGACAGCCTCGAGCTGGTCCGCAGGGAACACGCAGGCTCTGGACTGCAGAGCAAGGACCACAGACGTCCCCTCCTTCCCGGGCACAGACTCAGCAGGTCTCCATAGCCCTGCCCATCCCTCCCACTTGCCGTCAGCGCCCCGGGTTAGGGACTTCAGAAGGGGAGGAGGTTTGGGAAGTGAGGAGAGGACAGCCGGGAAGACCTCTCTCGATTTCCCATACCCAGGAGGCTTCGCTGCCTGCTGCTACCAGTGCACCCAATGGGCACGCAGTTCCTGAGCGGTGCAGAGGGAGGACCGAGCTAGGGAAGGAGGCTATACAGGTGCCGCAAAGGAACACGACGGCGGGTGTGGGGAGGGCGCTCACAGAGCCCAGCCCCACACCCGCCCAGAAGGGGGCCACGAGGAGGGCGTCCCCCGACCCGCTTCAGCGGTGAGGATGATCCAGAGTTTGGCTCCCCGCATTTCCTGGCTCACATGAGTGGCCTGGAAGCACCTCCGCCGAGCTCAGAGGAGGAGGGACGCAGGCTCTGGCCTCAGTTTCCCTGCCTGCGTCCGGGCCGAGTGAGACGTGGGAGGGGGGTGCCTGGAACGCGCTTCGAGTGGGGGCAGGAAAGGGCCGGGATTCCGGGCCCCTCCTCCCGCCACCGCGCCAGTGCTGCGCACCTGCAGCCGCGGACTCTCTTCGCCGGCGCCCGCGCCGTCCGGCCTCTCCTCCAGGATCATCGCCGCGCCCGCCGCGCTGGGGGTCCTTCGGGGTCAGCCTCTCGCGCAGCGCTCCGCAGCCGGACCAGGGCCTCCCGCACCACCCGGGCCGCGGGCTACTCAGTGCCCGCGCCGGTCCCCGACTGTCCCTCCTGGGTGGGGGTGGCCCGCTGCGCGGCTGGGCGTGGCACGGGTCCGGCGTGCCAAGCAGGCCGTTGCCCAATAGGCGGCAATGCCGCTTCGACGGACAGCTATGTCAGCCAACCAGAGCTCTAGGAAGGCGGGCTCTGGAGGGCCAGCCCCGCCCGCCCGAGGGACGGTAACCCCTGGCAACCGAGGCCTGAATGCCCGCGGCCGGCTGGCAGGTTGTACTGCGCATGCGCCGCAGCTGCCGCCGAGCTTGCGGGAGAAGTTCGGGAAACGGAGGAAAAACTCTACGGAACGTCCCAAGCTGAGAGTCAGGGCGGACCTGGCCTCGGCGCGCCCGGCTCCTGGGCTCCCTTTGCGGAGACTCCAGGAGTCTGCCAGGCCGCGCCGTTTCGTCCCGTCACCCCGGCAACGGGACCCTCTAAGAGGCTTGTTCCAAAAATGTTCACAATGGGGTTTTTAAAAACGGTTTTGTTAGGGACAAGTGCTTGTGTGAGTTCTCCGACAATGCCTGCTTTCTTCTCTCTGCCCGCGGAGCGGAGGCTCCAGGCCTGGCCCCAGTCCGAGGTGCGTCTGTCGGTGGCGTCCTGCTTCCAAAATCGGCCTCCAGAACCCGCGTCCTTCCAGAATCCGCCTCCTTCCAGAACCTCCGTCCAGAATCTGCCGCCTTCCAGAACCGCCTTCCAGAATCCGCCGCCTTCCAGAACCTCAGTCCAGAACCCGCCTCCTTCCAGAACCTCCGTCCAGAACCCGCCTCCTTCCAGAACTTCCGTCCAGAACCCGCCTCCTTCCAGAACCTTGGTACAGAACCCACCTCCTTCTAGCACCTATCTCTGGAACCCACGTGCTTTCAGAACTACCTGTTTGTAGAACTTGTTTCCAGAATGAACCTGCTTTCTGAATCTCTTTACTTCCAGAGCTTGCTTCCTGGACTGATCTGTTTTCAGAACCTACTTTCAGAACCAGCTTGCCTCCAGGACCACCTGCTTGGAGAACTGGCCTGCAACCCCAGGACTGGAAGCCTTGAGCCCGCACTGCTCCCTGCAGGGCTCACCCGGCTGTGTGTCCTTCCCGGCCTTCCATACTTCCCTAGGTGTCTGGTGACTTCGGAGCCCGCTCAGATTTCATGTGGGTCTCCTTAGCTCAGAACACACCCTTTGAAGGGAAGGAAGGCCGGGGCACAGATGGTAACCACGGCTCCTGTTCATCAAGTTCCTCTGAAGCCCAGGCCTTATCCATGTTGACTGCCCCACCACAGGCCCAGCCGAGCCTGGGAGCTGAGTCCTGGGCTCATTCTCGTGCCTGTGCTCCCCGCCCCGCAACAAGCACACATGAGCCTGTCATCCCCAGATCTCAATCCTGAAGGCTAAGCTCCGTGGTCTGCCGCAGCCATCTATCTGCAGCAGGCTCCTCCCACCAACAGTCTTCTTATGAGGCCCCTGCCAGTCATGCCAAACCTCCTGGCCAAGGCCTGTCCTCCACTCCTGGCCTTTTGAGACAGGGTCTCGCTCTGTTGCCCAGGCTGGAGTGCAGTGGCACGATCACAGCTCACTGCAGCCTTCACCTCCGGGGCTCATGTGATCCTCCCACCTCAGCCTCCTGAGTAGCTGGGACTACAGGCTTGCACCACCACACCTGGCTAAGTTTTGTATATTTTGTAGAGACAGGATTTCGCCACGTTGCCCAGCAATTCGTCTGCCTTGACCTCCCAAAGGTGCTGGGATTACAGGGATGAGCCACCACACCCGGCCTTTTTTTTTTTTTCTTTCTCCTTGCCTTTTGGGGCCTTGAAGCGTCTGCTCCCTGGGAGTCCTTCAGCTTGTCGTCCGCCTGGTGAGTTCCCACCTGTCCTTCTCACTTCTGCCTGAATCACACAGGCTACATGAGACCTTCACCTGCCCCCTTCACCAGCAGCTCTGTGGCCCAAGTTTCCTCAAGGGCAGGGGCTCCTGGCCGTCTTACCTGTGGACCTGAGCATGGGCTGATGCTTCCACAGTTCACACTGGGTGCACTTGTGTGGGGACTTCCACGGGAGTCATCTCCTTACAGGCTGCTGAGGTCCTGTACCAGCGGAGACCCAAACTCTCTTAGCAGTGTTCAGAGTCTGCTATGTGTACAGGAGGCATTACCGTATCAGCGGCCTTCAGCAAGCATGTGTGACTGAAATGGTATCCAGTTCTTACATATTTGTTTACTCAGCAGTTTTGCAGGTTTCTTGGTTCAGCAGACAGAGGCCATTGGGAGGTTAGAGCGGCTCCTCGGGGCCGGGGCGCGGTGGCTCAGCCTGTAATCGCACTTTGGGGAAGGCCGAGGGCGGTGGATCACGAGGGGAGATTCGAGACCTCTGGCTACATGGTGGAATCCGTTCTACTAAAAATACAACAAACCTAGGCCGGCGTGGTGGCGGCGCTGTCGTTCCAGCTACTCGGGGAGGTTGGGCAGCGGAGAATGGCGTGACCTGGAGGCAAGCCTGCAGTTGAGCCGGAGATGCGCACTGCCTCCGCTGGGTTGATCACAGCGCGGACTCCGTCTCAAAAAAAAAAAAAAAAAAAAAAAAAGAGCGGCTCTCAAATTTTGAGGGTCATAAGACTTCCCCTCCCTGCAGGGTGCTGTTTCCTGAAGGAAAATATTCAATTATTTTATTTATTTATTTATTTATTGAGATGAAGTCGTGTTCTTGTCGCCTAGGCTGGAGTGCAGTGGCGCAATCTCGGCTCACTGCAATCTCCACCTCTGGGGTTCAGTCAATTCTCATAGTTCCGCCTCCTGAGTAGCTGGGATTACAGGTGTGCGCCACCACACCTGGCTAATTTTTGTATTTTTAATAGAGACGGGGTTTCATCATGTTGACCAGGCTGGTCTTGAACTCCTGAACTACTCAAGCGATCTGCCTGCCTCGGCCTCCTAAAGTGCTGGGATTACAGGCATGAGCCACCGTGCCCGGCCACTGAAGGAATGTTATGCTCAGCTAAAATCAGGTTGGGGAGTACAATAAGGATATTTTCAGCTGTGGAATATATTCACAGGTTCTTCTTGCCCATTCAACCTCTTTCTCAGGAAGCCACTGGAAGATAAGCGCCAACAAAATGAGGGATTAAAGCAGCGCTTGGGTGGGGAGGAGCCCTGATTTTAGCATTTGCTGATTTACTTGATGTAATTACGCCCACCAAGGCCGGTTTCACGCTGATGAAGTGAAGGTAGTGGACAGGGTTGGGAAGAGGCGGCGTGCCAGCCGGCGCCGGCACACTGCTGGATTAAAGCAAGGACGGATAAGACCCGGAGACAGGAGCCAGGCATCCCACCCAGCAGTGGGGCTGCAGGAAATGTTTGCAGTGAAGGAAGTTCCCAGGAGTTGGGAGCAGCCAGGCTGGTGGGCAGCAGGTCAGAAGCCTATTCTCCAAGAAGATGAAATGGAGGGACTCCCTGATTATCTGAGCACACTGACAGGAGACTTGGTCAGCTGCCAGCAAGCTTGGGTGGAACTAGTGAACAGCACTGTGAGATGAAGATTATATAGATACAGGTTTTAGTCCAGGGCTCTTGACTCCTAACTCCCATAACCCTCATTACGGTCATGTGTTACAATGCTGGGGCGCTTTAGACCTCAGGAAACAGAATCTCTTTCTCTGACCTTCTGTCCTCCTCTCACCTGTCCAAGGCAGGACTCTCATCTGTGGGTCAGAAGACCCTCATTCCAGAGAAGGTTCTGCCTCGTACCTTGGAGGAAAGAATGCTACACAAAGAGGCCAAGAAAGTCTGAAAATACAGGCCTTGCTGGGTTTAGATAATGCACTTTTTGTTCATTTATATTAATAAACAGTTGTCAGACATGCCTATGTAATGAACCCTCCACAAAACCTCCACAGGACAGGGTTCAGGGCTTCTGGAGAGCTGAGCATGTGGATGCTCCTGGAGGGTGGCAGACCCAGGGAGGGCATGGAGCTCCATGCCCCTTACCCCATATCTGGAATCCCAGCACTTTGGGAGGCCGAGGCAGGAGGGTTGTGTGAGGTCACGAGTTGGAGGCTGCTGTGAGCGCTGATCATGCCACTGCACCCTCAGCCTGGGACATGAGAGAGACCCTGTCTCAAAAAACAAAAGTTGCATATTACCTAAAATGTAACTAGAAAGTAAATTAAATTAAATTTATAGAATAAAACCAAAGGAAATGCTGTAACCTTAAGTGATTTTACTGCATATATACACACAAAAATTAACCACATCAGAAGACAGTAGGAGGAGTTGGCCGGGCGCAGTGGCTCACGCCTGTAATCCCAGCACTTTGGGAGGCCAAGGCTGGCGGATCATGACATCAGGCGATCGAGACCATCCTGGCTAACGTGGTGAAACCCTATCTCTACTAAGAATACAAAAAATTAGCCGGATATGGTGGCGGGCACCTGTAGTCCCAGCTACTCTGGAGGCAGAGGTAGGAGAATGGCGTGAACCTGGGAGGCGGAGCTTGCAGTGAGCCGAGATCACGCCACTGCACCCCAGCCTGGGCGACAGAGTGAGGCTCTGTCTCAAAAATAAAAAATAAAAAATTAAAAAAAAAAAAAGAAAGTAGGAGTAAATGACTAAAGATTAAACATTGTTATCACTCACAAAGCAAAAAAGCTGATGGTTTGAGAAAAACAAAGTTGACAAATCCCTGGGACGGAATAAAGAGATTGTGTCTGCTAGGGTTGGCCTGAGCTAGGGTTCGCTTTCCCTAGAGGCTGGTCGCAGCCACAGGGGCCACGCCAGGCTCCTGCCACGTGTGTCTCCCCAGCGTGTGCCTTCAGCCTCTCAGTGGAGGTGAGGCCGCTCCTCCTGTGGGCTCCTTTCTGTGTTTCAGAAAGGAAAGAAAGAAGAGAAAAAGTAATCAGAGAAGCAAGACGTCCCAGAAATCCCCCAGAATGTGGACACACAGCCAAGCCGGGGGGTGCCACTCCAACTGCGCACGTTGCTGTCCCATACACAGTCAAGGTTTTGTTGATTAGGAAGGGAACAAGAACAGACTGGGGCTGG